TGGGGTTGGGCCCCGGGGCGGCCGTGGGGCCGCGGCGTGCAGCAGGGCCGGCCCGGCCCGCTGCTGGCTTCCCACAACTCTGAGGAAAACTGCGTGCGTGCGCTTGTGCACATACACATGCTCATTTATATATATATATATATAAATATATACGTACACACGCGCGCGCTCGCACACAAAGAGCTGAGTAGCGGCGAACAGTTTGCTAGGGATTCACCACAGTGCCGTAGGAAGGGATTTGTCATCTTCGCTGCCCTCCTGTTTCCTGGCGGCGCTGGTGGTGCCCGGCTGGGTGGCCAGGGCTGATCCCCGAACAAAAGCTGAAGCAGCGCCCCGACCCTCCCCAGACAGCCAGGTGGCAGGTCACCGGGGGGAGAGGAAGAGAAAAGGGCAGCCCAGGGTGATTTTCTGGAGTTTTGCCTCCTGACAGTCCCAGGTACCTCCCCCAGTCAGGGTATTGCTAAGCACTGTACAGAGCCAGGCTCGAAAAAGACACCCTTTTACTCCGGTTTGAGCTAGCAAGCTTAGCAGATTCAGGGGACAGCAGTCTGATCCGATAGGTTCTACTTAATGTGTTGCTGGTGGTCCAGTACAAATGGGACCATTGCCTGGTGAGGAAATGAGGTGGTGCCCCTGCACCCATTGTGATTTTGTGTCTTTCCAGCTGCCTGAAGGCCAGGCTGTGGCAGCGTCCTCTGCCTCGTTGGTTTGTGTGAGTAAATGTAGACCAGAAGAGCAGCCAGCCCCCAGGTTAGTCAGAGATGCCTCCTGCAAGTGCCCTGTCTAGTGGAGCCCTGTGCGTTGCAGGAGGTTGGCTTTCTGTCCACAGTCCTCAGTTCAGAAGTGAGGTAAAAGGGCTGTGGACTTTGGACCCGTCAGGCTGAGGTGATCATCAGCTGCTTTAAGACATCATGACCATGTTTTCCCCATACCTTCATAGCAGAGCAGACCACTTGCTGCATGGCAGGGTTTGGTGAAGATCTTGCAGGGTCCCCACGGGTTGTGACCTCCAGCGTTATTCCAGCCAGAGGTCAGCAGAGGGCTCTAGCAGTGTGGGCCCAGATTGGCTTTTTTTTTTTTTTTTTTTGTTGCACTTGATTTCAATTTCTGTAACTTTATTGGTGCGACAGACTGCATGTGCATTGCCAGAGGTTTGTGGCAGGCTGTGTTTGGGATAGGTGTCCATTCTGCATGGGCAAAATTTCTGATTTGCTGGTGGGCTGCCGCCTGTTGCGCTTGACCCTTGCTCCTGCTGAAGTCAACAGAAGAAGGTTCAGTGACTCCAGAGAGATCAAGATGGAGCCTGCTGTGAGGCTTATTTTGGTAGCCAGTCCTCTGCTGTTGGTAGAAAAGAGCTACTGTCCTCATCTGTGCCATTTGTTGTGTCCAACTACCTTCCTGGGGAGGGGAAGTATCAAACAGAATTTAATTCCCTGTCACAAGAAGGCTGATGGGATTGTGGGAGAAGTTGATCTGACAGTGTGATCAGTGAGACTTCGGTGCTATTGCCTCGGTGCTATTTCTGGTTCTGCGATGCAGATATAACTGTGAGCTAGAAATCAGGACTCTTGGCATTACCTTCCTGGCTTTACTTCTGTCCTCCTGTATGACCTTGGAGGTCCTCTCTCTGTACTTCAGTTTCTCCTCTGTGAAGAGGAGACAATGATGTGCCTCTGTTCCACAAGGACAGTCCTGTAGTTTTTCCACTGAAGCTCTTGGGAGCTTTGGGGTTGGGGTGAAAGATGATTTTGTGTCTTTGGCCATTTTGTGCTTGCTCTGAAATGTCGAGCTGTGACAGGTTTTTATTTGGGATGGACTTACTCTGGTTGGAGACTGTAATTTTAACTTCAGCCCTTACCCTTTTGTGCTCAAGAGAGCCTTCCATGTGTTTTGTGGCACGGGAAGTTGTAGAGGAGTCAGACAAACACTCTTTGTTTGTTCCACTAGAAAAGATTTTCTGGTATAAATAAAGGAAACCACCGGCACTTGTGGCTACACTTTTATTTTTAAAAGAACAGTGTGTCTGTATTGCTGCTAAGCCATTGACGAGGAGGGAGGCAAAATGATCATAGACTTGCTCCTTTTCTAGTCTAGCATGTTCCCACTCGACTGCTCCAAATTTGGACTTAATCCTGCCTGCTGTGGCTACGTCTCCCCTGAAGAGTTAATGTGGGTCCTGACTGGGTTTTAACCTTACTTCCTATTCCATTCACAAAGAAGAACCTCTGACTCAAATCTGGAGGTGTTTTGCAGTGTAGTGGTGTGGGTTAAATGCGGGATTAACTTTTAATGTGGGCTGAAGCCCAAATTGCAGGAAGGGAGCAGGCCAAGTGGTGTTAGTCCTTCAGTGACCTTCCTGTATTTCCCCATGAAAGACAGACCTTCTTCCGTCCCTGACACAACCAATGGGAAGGAAGCACAGGCTGAATCAGCGCAGCAAAGTGTGGAATATGACTCCCAGTGCATAGGAGTAAGTGTAGGTATGGTAGCAGGGGCAGGGTTTTGCTGTGAGGATGACTGTACCTCAGTCATGTGCTCCAGTTTGGGTACTAACTCTGCAAATGCATTATCGAGTGTTGCACAGTCTCCGTGTGAATGCTCTGTGTCCAGCAAAATCAAGGCAATGCGCCTTTCATGGCAGGATCTTCAGACTGGCAGCTGGAGAAAGATTCCCCGTTTCCTTTTCAGAGGCTGATTCAGACTTTGGAAAATCATCGTATGTTAAAGTAAAGGCAAAAACTCCCAGATTCTTTATGGGAAGGATTTGGTCCTGTCAAATCTCCCAGATCTCAAATGTAATCATCAGGGTGCAGCTGTGAAAGTAAAAGCTCTGCAAAAGAAGTTGAATGTGCTGTTCTGCGGCCAATCTGTAGTCCACATTCTCTGGTGTAATCCAGCTGCTTGTGCAGTGCAAACATTTAAAAAGCGTGGCAGACATGAATCAGTTTCGCTTCAGTTTTCTACTCTGTTTTGGTTTCTGCCTCCTTTATGCCCCAGACTACTGCGGTGAGCAGCATTTGATCTGCACAGGTAACTGCCGCTTTCCCTCCCTCTTTTCTTCCCTCCTTCCCTCCCATCAACATAGGTCTGTAAGCATTTTTATCCAGAATTGTGCCTTTACTGCCAGAGTTCCCAGATCGTTTCTGCTGGCACAGCATGAATAATCAACAGTGCAGTTCGGCGGCTGTCATTGTGCCTGCAGAATTTCGCACATATTAAATTGTTCAACTTGTTCAACATGGGCGGTGACTAAGGTCACTCCGAAGGGGAATGGGAAGAAGGAGGTAGCCATAGACAAGATAGGAGAACAGACAGGAGGCATACTGCCATTAGGGGAGGAGGAAAGAGGAAGGGAAGGGACAAGGAACAGAAACATACTGTCTTCTAGACAAGGAATACCAACAAGCAGTCCATGCCTGCCAGGCTACATTTCCCTTTCACAAGCCACTTTCTTTTTTAATAGCTGCTCACACTCTCTGACACTTCAAACTCCCTGGATGGAAGCTCCTCCCCTCTTGTACCCACTCTCAGCACTGTGGCACTGTCAGCTCTGCATGACCTAGAATTAACTTTCAACAATTAACTGCGGGCTGTGAGCTCCAAGCCCTGCAGCTTTTGCGTTTTTGTGGCAAAGTAACCTTTATGCCAGTTTGTCACAAGTTCAGAAGCGCTTACTGGAGACCATTTTTTTCCATGATGCAAGCAGTTTGCTCTTATCACTCAGAGTTATCAACCTTGGTGCTGTAGGACTGCATACTGTACAGGTGGATCATTATAGTGCTTAACAGCATAGGGCAGGCACTATCTCTTTGTGCGTATTCTTATCCTCTGCTCCATTTGAGACATCTTTCTTTGCCTGCATGCTGGTGGAGCTAGGAGGCCTGGAGGGCTCCCGGTACTCACTGTTGGCAGAACTACTAGCAGCTGGGTTTTGTACATGTGTACTTATCTATCCTATCTCTCATCACTTTAAATCTCTCCAACCCTTGACCAAGCAGCACAATGAAGCTTTGGCAAGAGGCTGGGAAACATTGAAAAACGCTTATGAAATCAGTGCAGATCGCAAGCAGTTAGTGTTTGCTCCATTTGTAGTGAAGGCAGGGGATAATGGCATATCGGCCCTGTTCCCCCACCCACACTGCCTCATTGTGGTTCGGTAACCAAGTACATGGTCTAGTTAATCCTGGGGGTGCTGTGGGCTTGCTTTGAATCTTTCAGCGTGTGGCTTGATTCCTTGGTCTGGGAAAGTGGTCAGTGTGGAGACACAGAGGCTGTGACTTGTAGAATGTGCTGTCATGGTTCTGAGGTAGCCTGTTGAGGTGGATGTTCTGCAAGGGTGAAAGAGGTTGCTGACAGGAAGAGAGCAGATACGTGGATGCATGGTTCAGAACCCTCGGCTTCTTCTCAGAAGTGTCTGTGTGCTGAGGTCTGTAGAAAGGATGCTTCTGGCTTCTCCCCTTGCATTCTAAAACCCACTGGGGCATCCACTGGCTATTTTGAAAGGGTGTAAAAGGCAAACCCATGAAGGGCCTTAATCCAGAGTGCAGATCATCTGCAATACCACAGGTGCTTTTTAGCTGAGCTAATATGCTTAGTGGCAGCATATCCGAGAGTATGGGGGATAGCAGGGAAGGGCTTTGGGGAAGAGGCACCTGAGGGACACATCGTGGTGCCAGGCAGGCAGATAGTGAGGCTCTTTTGTCTACCTTGCCTCTGCCCTGAAGGAGCACTAGGAAGAGATTGTCTCTTTCTCTCCCCCACTTGATTTGTGTGTGTGTGTGTGTGTGTGTGTGTGTGTGTGTAGGGCAGATACAAAGGACTTAGGCCTGAGAGACTGTTAGTGAAGAGAATAGGGTAGATGTCTTGCAACTGTCTGGCTCGTTTTAAGGGGTGAAGCACTAGACATTCTTGAGCTAAGTTTGCATTAACTTATTTCCTCCATTCCTCTTTTTAGTTATCAAATTCCTGGAAGTCTATGAGCGCAGCTTCTGCAGGACAATTGAGACCCTGGTGGACATTTTCCAGGAGTACCCTGATGAGGTGGAGTACATATTCAAGCCATCCTGTGTGCCTCTGATGAGATGTGCAGGTTGCTGCGGCGATGAGGGCCTAGAATGTGTCCCTGTGGATGTGTACAACGTCACGATGGAGGTGAGGGCCCATCTTGCAAGCTGGCATGCTTGGGTGGAAGGAAGCAAGTCAGCCATCACAGCCACCCCAGGTCCCAGCTAATTCAGAGGGAGGGCAGCCTACCCCAGGGAAATGGAGATTGTTGGACTGGGGGGCTTGCCTCTTTCCTGACCCTTGTGCCCAGCATTATACCATGCAGCGTTAAAAGATGAGTTGCCTGTGTCTATTCAAGGCTAAGATGAGAATCTGTTTTTTCGCTCTGACCTCGCTAGTGCCCAAATACAGTAGCTAGGGGCATGCAAAGGAGCATTTCTGCAAAGCAGAGAGTGCAAAAGACATTTCTGGTGCTATTATCTCTGAGGTTCCAAAGAAGATACTCCTTGGGCCCTTGCTCCACCTTAACTCTGCGTTTGGTCCAGACAGCTGTTGCTCTGAAGGCAGCTGAGTAGAGCAAAAGGGGAAAGCCTGTCAGTACTCTCTCCCGGAGGGCATGTGAGGTCAGCCTTTACCAACAGAGCAGGGGGATTTGGGTCATTAGCTACATTGGCACAGCAGGGGTGGAAGGGGGCTCTAAGAAACACACTGCTTCAGTGTCAAGTGGAAAAGCCTTTCTGCCTCTGGGCATTCTCCTCCTTTGTTTGGAGGCTGCTGAATTCCCTCCTTGGAAGAGACAGAGATGGCCCCGATAGCAAAGGCTGGGCACATGGGGAAGATGCAGACTTGCTTTAGAGAGCTTTGTCACTGCCCTTGTCTGCCCGCCTGGATGCCAGCTTGTGTCCACAATGGCACCCATTACCTTTAACCCATAGCTGCCTCACCTACTTGTCCCTCAGCCTCTTGAATGGCCACTGTAAATACCGCCATCACTTTTTGATATGGATGAGAGACATGCAGTACTAAGTGATTAACCAGCAAGCTCTTTTTACTTGTCATTTGAGCTGTGTTTGAACAGCGGTGGAGAACCTGTCTGTGCCCTTCCATGATTCCCCATACTGCTTTTCCACTTGCAGGCTCCAGCCTGGGCTAGAGCATACTAGCATGGTGTAGCTAGGGATGGGTTACTTACTACCGTTCCTTGCTGAATTACAGTTTTTGGCTGGTATGCCTGCATGCCTGTAACGGGTCAGAGGCACTTGAGCAGATCTCTGGTGCAAGTTCTAGAGCTAGTGGTCCAGCCGGGTTCTGCGTTGAGAGACTGTGACAATACATGCATAGCTTCCTTGGAGGCACCTGGGGATGGGGGATGGGCAATGTCTGGCTCTGCAGGGCTGTTTTAAGCACAGATCACCAAATCTACGTTGCGTGTCAAGTCACTGAGAAAGTGAGATGTCAGCTGGGAAGGAATGGTGGCTTAGGGAAAAGGAGTTGGATAAGGTATTTTTGCTTTGGGCCTTCGTGTTAGACTGAAGCATGCTTCTACGTGAGAGCAGGCTGGATGCCCTGTTACTGTCTCTCTAGGATCAACCAGGGACGGCTCAGTGAGAACCTTGCTATGGTGTTATGCCCTCTCTCATGCCTGTCTCCAAGGCAGTCCACCAGTGCTGGCACCTTGCATGCATGAGCAAACAGAGCTTTGGCACAAGTCTGGTGTTGCCACTTGCTTGTGATCAAAGGCCTTCCCTGACTGGGAGAATGGGGCCTCAAAGCGAGCTCAAACTCTGCCATGCTCTTCCCAGGAGCACCTGGGGTGCAAATGCTTTGCTGCGCAGCAGGCTTATTTGGAGCTGTGAATATAAATAGTGAATGGGCAGTGACCCTCTCTGTTTCTTTCATTCCAGATCATGAGAATTAAACCCCATCAGAGTCAGCACATAGCGCACATGAGCTTCTTACAGCACAGTAAATGTGACTGCAGGTGAGAATGGAGCAGCACTGGTTCCTCTTGCAATAAACTTACTCTGAGCCTTTCCTTTTTTTTGCCATTGTGTTGGGACTGTTGTGCAGAGGCTTCTGCAGTCTCCTCAGTTGGTTTGCAGTGGGATGGCTGAGCCTGGGAAAAGAAGTCCTTTGCTGGCGAGGCTCCTCCGTCTCTAGTTATCACAGGTGGACAATGCTAGCCTGAAACCTGGGGTTTTTTGGCACTGGCTGCCAGCAAGGTGCAACAGGAGAGCAAACACTTTGAGAAGGACCACTGTACCAGTGCCATGGGCATCCTGCAATGCCAGCTGTACATGTCCTTCCCTGGACTTGGCAGGAACTGGGGATAATACTGGAAGCATATATAGTAAGCTGCCTTCTAATGAGGCCTTTGTTCTCTCTTCCCCCACAGACCAAAGAAAGATGTCAAAAACAAACAAGAAAAGTAAGTGACAAGCCTTTTCTCCTTTCTCTTTTGGTGGTTGGTTGGCATTTCCTCTCCCCACTGCCCCTTGCCCTTTTCTTTGGTTGGAGGTACTTACTTTGAGAAGGTGTTTTTGGAAATGGCATATGATAGTGCATGGGGCGACACTCTGAATCCGTTCCAGGTGGGCACAGAAACCCAGATCTGACGGTCCTTCCTTCATACCCCAGAGCTGGAGCTTGCATGATGCACGACCATGGCAGTCATTCCTAATGCTTTATCCCGAGTCAGGGAAGTCCCATCGTGTGTGTCCTACCAGAATGGATTCAAGGTGCAGCCCCCATTCTCCCTTCCCTCTTCCTGGGGTGTTTCTGGTTACTGCAAATTGCTGCCTTTCTTTATTATTAATTTTTTTTTCTTGCTGCTTGAGTGAGTACTTGCTGGCTTCTTTCACAGCAGCTTGGGTAGGAACTCTCCTGGCTACAGGGAGAGGTGGCAGTAGAGGCCTGGTGGAGGCAGGACTGATGCCATGCAGGATGTGATGCTGGTTTTGGTTGGGTGGGGGCCCAGGAGGGTGTAAAGGGAGGTGGATGTCCTGTCTGGGTCTTGGTGGAGGCTTTCATGAGAGTTTTTTTCAATCTGATGGATTTGCTGGTGACCTGAAGGAGGTTAAGGCACAACCTTCCCTTTCCTTCCTCCCCAAAGTAAAAAGGTTGTGGAAATTAGAGAAATAAGCTCTTGTCCTGCAGTAGTCGCAGGGACGATCACAAAATGTGGAACAACATCGAAAAGAGAGAGTGACCTCTCTGAGCGAGAGGGTCAGCTGGACTGCGCATGGCTGGGATAGCGAGTCTGCCATTTAGAGGTGCGGAGTTGGAGAGGAAGGGGGTGAATATTGGGAGATGAGGCTGAAACAGACAGAGAGAGCAAGCGGGAGAGTGAGAGAACTTCTTTCACCCCTCTCCTGGTGATTGTATGTTTCTAGCTGCCTTCCAGCCTCTCCTACTCCCCCTGGAAATCTGCTCCTGGCTGCATTGGGCTGTGTGCAGCCAACACTCCTCTCTGTGCAGGGCCGTGTCGGGGACGGTCGGTCTGCGTGGCTCTGTGGTTTGAAGCTGTGCGAGAGTTGGGTCTGTGTGAACTCTGGTGAGGATGGGGTGTGGGTGAAGCAGCCAGCCCAGACTGTGTTGCATTCCCTTTCCTCTTCTAACAGCACCTTGCCTGCCCTTTGCTGGTTCTGCACTCCCCAGGGAAGAAAGGGAAGGGATGGGAGAGGTTGGTGTGCTTTGATTTGTGCTGGATGGAAAGTCCTGTTATATTGGTGCCCCTGTCCTCCCTTCAGGTTGATTTTCCTCCCCTCACTGCCTCCCTATGACTCCTGACATGTGGAGCAGAGACTGGGAGTGAGCTGATGCTCTGACACTCGTTCCAGTGAGATGACTTGAACAGGGCCTAAGAAACACCTATGGTGCTTTCCCTTCTGTCCCCCCATGTCCCCTCAACAGCTCCCTCCCGAGGTGGGCTGCACCAGGGAACAAGAGAGCCTTTGCTGAACTGCCACAGTGCTGGGGCTCACTTGTCTGGCAAGCCCTGGTGCTTTGCCTAGGGCCTTCTCCTTGCATGTCTCTCCCTTGGTCCTGTGCTAATGTGGCTCAACGAGCAGCGCAGGCTCCAGCCTCCCTCCTTCCCTGTGCTCTCACTGGCCTGTAGGGATCCATGGTTAGTGTCCAGGCCTGCACATCCTAGCCCCTGCCTGTCCCAGCTCCTGCCCAAGAGTGAGAAGCAACTGGTGAATTTTTCAGAATGAAGTCAGTGCCTTGGCTCCGTCTGCTTGTCTGTCTGGCAGATTCATGTGGAAGGCAAGAGGAGGGAGGGAAAGGAGGGAAGATCTGAAAGCTGCTTGTTGGTTATCTCCTGGGTGTCATAACTAGGTCAGGCCTCCCTCTTTCCCCTTTGGTACTCAGGATGGAGGCTGCCAGAGGGGATGTTAGCAGACATCCAGTGAGGTATTCTGGAGTCTTCCGAACTACAGGCACGAGGTGGGGCGGGTGAGCAGAGCCTTTGGGCTAGATAGCCCTCTCCCACACAGCACTGGTGTGTAGACCAGGTCTCTCCCCTTGTCTGCAGGGTGCTGAGGCCAGGCCCCCTTTGCTCCCATCCCAAGGCAGGATTACCACCGGCCCTGTTGGAGCTCAGCTGCCCCCTCCTAGGCCTGGTGCTGGGCAGTGTGTCAGGTCAGAGTGGTTTCCTTTTCCCTGGGGAGAGCCCCTCCACTCAGATTGCCTCTTGTCAGTCAGTGTGCCCACGCTTGTCGCCTGGAAAAGTTGTCTGCACTTGCTGCGGTTGCGTGATGCTTTCACAAAGCTTTCTGTTCCTTCCCCCCCACCTCCTGTCCCTTTCCCACTGGCCCTCTCTGGAGGGGGCACGTGCCCCTCTGAGGCTCCAGCAGAACCACCTCTACTGGCAGCAGCCCTGCTGGAGGTGGTCTCTGCTGAGTCCCCAGGTGTTGGCTTGGCTGTGGGCAGGCTGGTTGCAGTGCTGGCAGGAGTGCAGGAGGGCCAGTGAATGTGTGTGTGAGGTGGAGATTTGTGCTTTGGCCCCGGGACTTGCCCTCCAGTCCTGCCTCATGTGCTTCCCCCCTCCCAGCAAGGCACATGGCTGGTTTTTTTTCCTCTTCTTCCTTGCGTTTTCTTCCATTTTCTCTCTCTCTCCCCCTTTCTTTCCTTCTCTCTCTCTCTTTCTCTGTTTTTTTTTTTTTTTCTTCCAGAAAATCAAAGCGAGGAAAGGGGAAGGGTCAAAAGAGAAAGCGCAAGAAAGGCCGGTACAAACCACCCAGCTTGTACGTTTGTGTCCTCTGCTTGTAGACTGTCTTCCCTCCCTCTCCCCAAATCAATCCGCCTGCTTGCTGCTCACTCAAATCTCACCCTCCCCTCCCAGTCACTGGTGGGCTGCAGATCCTGCAGGGGCAGCACTGGTGGTGGCACCGCTCTGGCACTAAGGGTATCTCAGGGAAGGTGGCTTTAGCTTGCTTGGCTCTCTAATCATCAGTGGTGACCATTTTCCCAAGGCACAAGAGCGTGGGTGGGTGAGCGAGGCCCTGCACCTCTTTTCCATGCCTTGTGGTTGCAGCTCTGTCATCTGCTTTCCCCCACTGGTCTTGTGCCCTCACTGCTATGATGACAGGCAACAGGCAGGCTGGCATCTGCCATGCATGTGTGTGCGTGCGTGTGTGTGTGTGTGCGTGTGGTGGAGTCACAGGCGGAGAGGAGAGGTGGGACGGTGGGAAGCCGGAGACGGGGTGCTGGGGAACTGGGATGGGCTCTCTCTCATTTTTTTTCTCTCTTTCTGCTGGATTTGTTGGCTTCTCTCTCCCTGTGTCTCTCTCTGTCTCTTTCACTCTGCCTCTCTCATGGTGGTTCACAGAATTCTGCATTGTAAATTCATGGCCCCTCTGTAGGAGACTCCTAGGTGGCAAGGTTGGGATGGGGCTTACAGAAAGGAGAGCAGTGCCGGCTGCAGGGGTAAGCATGTGATGCTGGAGCCCAGCTGCTTTCCAGAGGAGGAGAGACCCTGTGTATTTAACTCGTTTAGCCACTGGCCTCTTTCTACTCAAATAGCCCACTTCAGAGAACTCCTTTCATTGATATGTCAGTAGCTGGTTGGGACCTCTCACCTTCCCATCCTTGCTTTCCTCTTCTTCCTCCCTCTGGCCTGTGCCAATGGATCCAATGCAGCATTTGTGAATACTGTGCAGAGAGCCTGTTTTCTTTCTCTTTACGCTAATGCAAGGGGGTGCTGTCCTGGGACTGCCGGGGTGCTGCTGGAAAATCCATCAGCCTGTGATGCTCCAGTGGGCAGCATGGGGGCTGCGGGAGGGGGCAAGGGGATTGCTTTGATGTTTAGGGTGTTGCATGTGTATTTTCTTTCTGCTGAAGCGCTGTAGCTTAGACATCTTTCCTTTTGCCTTTTTGCAGTCACTGTGAGCCTTGCTCAGAGAGGAGAAAGCACTTGTTTGTACAAGATCCCCACACCTGTAAATGTTCCTGCAAATTCACAGACTCACGTTGCAAGTCGAGGCAGCTTGAGTTAAACGAGCGCACTTGCAGGTTTGTGTCCTGAAGGATGAAAGAGAAGCACAAAGAGAAAGAGAGAGAAAGAGAAAGAGGGGGGAGCTTGCTTCCTGCTGACTTCTGGCACCAGTGCTATATGATTACTTCTTTTTTCTGTCCTACGTGGGCCAGAGGACAGAGGGGCTAACTGAGATGAGGACAGAGGTTCCCTGTGTCAAAGGGCAGCTGTGCGTTTCAGATGTGCTGTCAGGACTTGGATGGGGATGGCTCCCAGAGCCAGGGCATTTGTATCTGAGGTATCCTTTCCCATAGAACAAGGTAACGGAGTTCATGCTGCTGAGGTAGCCAGGGGGAGAGTCTGTAGCCCTCCGTACATTATCTGTATGCAACTCTGAGCATACTGACAAAGACAAATCCTAAGCTGACTAGGATTTGACCACCCCTGTCTTCCAAGCCCTTTTTATGCGGCTTGTGGACACTCTGCTGTGTGCAGAGTGAGGAAAGCCAGGCCAGGAGCCTCCCCACATTCTCCTTTGCCTCTTTGTTCTTCTAAAAGCCAGGGAGAGCACTCTGTCCTCTTGCACTGTGCTCACAGTTCCTTGTCCATGTCTTGGCCAGAGTTGTGGTTTGAGGGGCTGCACTCAGGGCTGTGACTGGGATACAGCAGGATTCAGCTTGTCTCTGGGTGAAGACAGGCAGAAGTCTGTATTTCAGCTGTGAGGTGGGAGATGAAAAGACATGGTGTGGTTAGTGTTTTTTTCAGAGATCCGTGCTGTGCATGTGTCATTTGAGTGCTACCTGTCATGCACCATCTGTGGCATAGACATGCAGAAACTGATTCCTGGTTCTCACCTGAGCGCTTTGTTGAACTCAGTGGGGTCTCTTGACTCGCACCACCTGCGTGTACATCTCTGGGGTGTGGGATCACCCTACCTATCCAGAGAGAGACATAGAAATGGGGTTGCTATTGGGCCTTTGGCTGTGACTTTGAACTCGGGTCCCTTTCGCAGAGATACAGGTGATTCCTCCTGTCAGCAGAGTATTGCAGTGGCAGTGGCTGGATGGGAGAGAGTAAGGGAGAGAGATCCAGGGTCCTCTGTGGCTACACCCTGAAAGAGACTTCCATTTGCCTCCATTTGCCTGCCTGGAATTGGCTAGGTGACTAAGGCTGCTACAAGTAGCAAGTGCTTCCTTTAGGTGTGAAAAGGCTTTGTGCCCAAACCAGAGAGGTGTTTGCACTGCCAGTGTGGTGGAAACTGCTCTGTATACAGAGGATTTTTCTGGGGTGCTGTAATTTCAGTGGGAAAGTGATTGATGGAGGGCCAGAATAGAGCAGCTTCTGGAGTTAAACTTCTCCCAGGGAGCATAACCTCTGAAGAGTGAGACCAGACCTAACTTTTCCCTCTGCCTGTATTCCCAAACTCCAGAATAACTGGAGATTACCCTACAAGAGTTTGAAGGGTGAGAAATAGTAACAAATACAAAGAAAAAACAAAGAGTACCCCAAAGAAGTCATGATGTCAGAAGGGGTTTCCTAGTTTCTCTTACTAGTCCCTCTCTGTGGTGGGATTAATTGGCACTAAGGAAGGTTTCCATAGCTGGTGTGTTCGCGAGAAAGATGGGAAGGAGTCATAGAAGTGGTAGCTTACCTGTTTCCAGAGAAAAAGCTGGTTAAGCTGAAGTTCCTCATGCTCTTTCTTGTAGAATTAGAATTGGGCCCTACTGGGGAGGGTAAATTCTCATTTCTCCTGCTGCTTCTTCAGGCTGCTGCTGCTGCTGTTCCCTGGTGCTAACCCCTGCTCGTGGCAGCTAGTGGAATGAGAGGCACTTTCTTTTCACCTTCTTGCCTGCATGAGGCTGTGTTGTCTGCACTGCTTCCAGCCCAAACAACAGGATAGGTGGAGAGCTGAGGGAGTGTGTCATTCTGCATGTATTGCTTAGCCTTGTTTTTCTGTGTGTTTGTGTGTATCTATGTGTGCATGGTGTGAGAGAATGCAAACAAGACACTCAGCTCATCTGTGAGGAAACCTCTGATTCTGCTCCTAAATTTACCCCTGTACCAGTATCGCCCCCACCCCGTGTAAGTGAGCCTGGAGGAATAGAATTTATCGACCCATTCATGGGTGGAGATTCTCAGCTGTTTTGCCCCATCTGCACAGCACTTCACCCCACCAGTGACGTCATGCCATGTCTTAACACCATGTGCTCTTAAACACATCAGCCACCTCCCTTCCTTCCCTTCCCTGTCCTACTTGCACCCCCATCACAAACATTAACCCCTTTTCTCTTTTTTTTCCTTCCCTCTCCTCTCTGACAGATGTGAAAAACCGAGACGGTGAGCAGCGGAAAAGAAGGGGGAACAGCCCTATTTCTGGAGCCTGATTTCTCGCCTGGACAGAAAAAACAAAACAAAACACTAATCCAAATGAACCCTAAAAATGAAGGATCGGTAGAGCACAGCACTTTCAGTACGGACGATGGACTCCGGAAGGAACATTCCCCAAGGCACCCGCCGCACAGAATTCACCTTTGGGTTTTGAACTGTTTTATTTTATTTTTCTTTTCATGCTGCTAAATAACAGAGCCAGGAAGACTATAGGGGTGTATTTGATGGGTTTTCCCATGCATACATATATATGTGTGTATACATGCATATACATATATATATATATTTTTTTTTTTAACCACATCTATATATACATATTGTATATCTTAACCACACACACACATATATATATAATATATATATATACTGATTATTTTTTTTAACATTGCTAATGTTATTGGTGTCTTCACTGGATAATACTCGACTGCTGTGGACACAAGCGGGCTACTTGGGGTATAAGAAACAAGCTAAGACTGGACTTGAGTAGAAGCGCTGGGTGTAAACTTTTTAACTCTTAACTGACTCGTGCGGCCTCCGCTGTTTCTCTGTAGAGTGTGCTGTACCACAAACCACCTTCTCCTTGCCTGGGACAGGGAGGAGAGGTGATGGAGAGGATGGGCAGGGAGTTCCAAAGAGCGGCATCCTAGGGTGTGATGGGTCAAAGGCCAAGGAAATGGCCGTCTCCGTGATCAAGGATTCCTCCTCCCCTCTCTTCCCCCAACCTTCGCCCTTACTCGTCTCATAACCTGCCTGCCTTGCTGGGACATGGGATGTCAGTGTACATTTTGCGTTGACTTTACTCGCTATAGAAACTTTGCCAGAGAGACATGCTGGCTTCTCTTAAGGATGGTGGGCAGCTGATGAGCACTAACTTTCCATTCAAGGAAGTATCACAGGAGTCTAGATTTCCCGCCCTTGGTGGCTGCAAAAGGACACAAGGCCTACAGTGTGCTGAAGCAAGAATGGGGACCGGTGCATAGCCACACAGTTGTTCAGCACTGTCTGCTTTCTTCATGCACAGAGCTGCCACTCAAGAGCATCCAAGATGCTTACGGAACATTTCTGGAAAGGGATATTAATCAAAAGTATATACACAGTAGGGGTGTGTGTGTGTATGTGAATGTGTGCATTTGTGTCTGTGTGTATGTATGTTTGTGTTTTTCTCTCTTTTTTATATATATATATTTATTTTTATACATATATATATATAAAAAAATAATATATATGTATGCCAAGATTGAAGGGGGGGAAAGAAAGTGACTTCTACTGCCTTCAGTTTGCGTGCCCAGTGTGAATGACCCGTAAGAACGTTTTTATGATGAACTGTAAATATCAGGCCCCTTTTCCACGTTGGGCTGGGGAATCAAATGTGAAGGCAGCTGAAATCCCTGAGCAGTGTCCGAGAGTCTTGGCTATGTGTGTATCTGCAGTATACGCTGTGGTGTATGTGAAACCCACCTTACACATGCGTGCACACACACACACCCCTGAAAGCGTGTTTGTACATCTATGTGGATATATATAATCTAGTTCTGTGATTAAAATTATTAATAATAATCATAATAATCAAAAAGGTACTCAGTCTGTGTCAGAATGCTGCCAAACATCATCTGCAATTGAATTTTCAACGCCTGATAATGTACAACACGGAAAGCTTCCAAAAAGACAAGACAGTCTAAAAACAGATTCACAACAAGCGACTACTAACCACTAGGAACTCCCCATCCGACTGATGGCTTTCAGAAGGAGAAAAAACACGCGGGTGGGTGCTTGCATCTGCAATGTATAATACTCATGCTGCATTGTGCGCAAGACAGAGGCTTCCGATGGGGGGGGAGGGAAGAGAAAGTGTTTTATATACTTATTTAATATCCCTTTTAAAATTAGAAATTAAACAGATAATTTAATTAAAGAGTAGGGATTTTTCAGTATTCTTTGTTAATATTTAATTTCAACTATTTATAAGCCGTACCTCCTTTTTTTTTTTTTTTTTTTTTTTTTTGTACTGGTTGTGTATAAATTTAACCTTCCTGTTGTCCCGTCCCATCTCTCCCCAATTGTTGGCAGAGTCAGTAGCATGTTATGGGCAGTTATTTAATTAATTTGTCTAACACCTACCCCTACACATTCCTATTGAGACAAGGGTTAGATATACATCTACATACTATATATATATTTGGCTATGTGTTTGTATATATATATATATGTTTATGTATATGTGTGATTCGGATTAAATAGACGCTACGATTTTTTTATATATGTAAAAAAAGAAACAGGAAAAATAGAAAATTCTACATCTTGAATCTCTCTCCTTTTTAATTTTAATATTTGTTATCATTTTATTTATTGGTGCTACTGTTTATCTGTAATAATTGCGGGGAAAAAAGATATTAACACTACATATTGTGTCTAGTGAATTTTTTCAAGATATTCCTTAGTACATATTTATTTTTAAACAAAGAAATTACAGATATATCTTAAAAAAACAACAACGACGACAACAAACAAACTTTTTTTTGTATTAAAGAATTTAATTCTGACCTTGATTTCCTTTGCCTTCTCCTTCTGCCTTGCATCCTGGTTTTCTTCCATTGTGTAATAGACCCTCCAGCGTTGCCTCTGGAGGCTACAGCGCACCAGCAACCTGCCAGCTGGACTCTTTGATCTGGGCCCAGAGCCTCCAAAAGCATCTAGGTACCTAAAGTCCATTGAAATGCATGGGAGGTAGGCAGGCACCAAAATACTTGTGTGGAGCTCAGCCTGAGTTCCCTGCTCAGTGAGAAGAGGGTGGTCTGATGGGCAGGAACGAGGGGGCAGGACTCCTGGGTTCCTTTCCAGCCTCTGATGCCAAGGAGCATGGTGATGGTCCCAGCCCTGCCTCTGCCTTGTCAGGAGCCAAGCTCCGTGTGCCGAGTGCTGTACAGGCACGAGTAGACGCGATCCCGGTGGAGCTTACAATCCAAGGTGAAAGGAATGCTCTGAGCCTGCTCTTCACTGGTAATGGAGTTGGTGTTTGCAGCTGAAGCAGCGTGTATGTAACCCAATGCCAGTGATGGCTCAGCAAGACCTCACCATCCTGGATGATGTTGAACTAAGAACTGTTCAGCTCTGACCGTGCTCATCACTTCGTGAGGGATCTTGATACCATTGCATCTTTTGTGCTGTGTTTTGGGGTCTTTGGGAGGAAAAGCTCTTTGGAAGTGGTGTCATTTCCTCATCAGCCATGAACGCGAGTCTGTTGTGTGTCAGTTGCCTGGCCGCACTGGAAAGGAGCATACAGGATGTTCCTGGATGTCTAGGAGGCGACTTACCCAGGCTAATACAGATCACTGAGTTCGTGGCTGCCTTGGTCCTGCTCTTGTGAAGGTAAAGGATCTGGCTTTTAATTAGGATGGACTTAGGTAGCTCAACAGGCGGATCTCCAGTCACAGACTCTGCAGAGGGCAGAGTGGAGGAAAGAGGACAAGTACTTGAGGAGGCTCTGGTTCGTCTTGTTCAGTAACACCTTGTGGAGTGCAGCGGTGAGGTGAGAAGGTGAGCAGGGGCCATCTGTGGATGCTGCTGCATGAGGAACCCAAGGAGTTGCTTGCGTATTCACCACTGGCTTTTGGTTTGTGAGGATCTATGGGCTGTTTCACAGATAGCTGTGCAAGGTGACAAAGATAGCAAGCCTATCCTCAGTAGACCTGCATTGTCTCTGTGACCTGGAAAATGTTTACAAGTCATAAATTGAAAAGATTGAAACTGGCAGGTCAGTGTTGCTCCCCTGGGCTGAGCTGCATGTGAAATCTCAGCACGAGGGAGCCCAGGTCTCCCAGATGGATGAGGCAGCAGGTCCCTACTGTCAGTTGCAATACATCAAACTCTTCCTGCTGATGGTGGGCTGGGCTGGCCGCTCCCAGCACCTAGAGGAGAAGAACATGCTGCACCCCTCTCTTTTCCTACCTCTGATGGCTCAGGAGAAGTAGGACACCTGCAGAGCCAGGTGACCTGGTAGCCACCTACTCCATGAGACAGTGGCTGCATGGCATGCTTCAGCTGGGACAACTCTACCCTCTCAAAGGATTCGCTTGAGTGTGGCTGCAGCAGAGCCGAGGCAGCTGACTCAAACCACTGCAGCAAGAACCTGCCCAAGCCAGCTCTGAATGAGCTACCTGGGGCCCTGGAAGCAGTCCAGCTCTTCTCCTTTATCCTCCAGGGTGGATATGGCTGGGCTGTCTCACCTCTTGTGAGGAGAGCAATTGCAGCTCGATGTTGGAAGGGAGCTCAACCTGGCTGGTGAGGGTGCGTGCAAGTGAGGACCCTGGTCCTTGAGGGGCCGGGACACAGGAGTGTGGCTGCCCCTCACCCTGCCCAGGGTTTGCACCTGGCTCACCGGTGCTCCATCCCAAGGTGAGGCGAGGACACGTGGAATGAGGCCAGGTTTGCAGGCTGGCGCTCTGATCTCGGTGTGCAGCCTTTCACCCTGCACACAAGAACTTTCCCTCAAAGGCTTCCAGTCATGTCCACATTTTGGTGGCTGGCTAATTAAAATGCTATCTTCAGGCAGCCGGCTGGTGCTTTCTTCGTGCCTGCTTCATTTATTCTGTGGGATTCAAAGAGCAGAGGCACCATGAAAGGCAGAAAAGGGTACCCTGGGCAGACATGACTGAAAACCCCACTAGCAATGAAGAAAGGGTGCTTTTGGTTGGAAACCCTTTCTATCTTTCCCATTTGTTGTTGCTGATGTTGTTGCTGGTTGGGTCTGTAAGTCAGCCAGGCTCTGCTTGGGCTCCACCACCACCTGCAGTGCCTATGTTAGAAATGCATGTAAAGCTTCTGTCCTTCAGCATGGTCCCACGAGGGATATTGGAAGCCCAGAAGAAATCTGTTCACAGGCCACATCCTCCACTGTCTGCCTGCAGGAGCTTTGGTAGCGAGATGGGTATTTTTATTCCAGACCATGCAGTGAGCATGCAGGCAGCCTTTCTGTGCTTGGGACACCTGAAATTTAAGGCTAATCCTCATCGTCCAGCACAAGGTCTGCAGTCCCAGTCCGTCCAAGCATCATGCTTGCTCGCAGCGCCCTGATCAGGGCTGGGCCAGTGTGGCCCCAGCAGCACTGTGCCACCCCACAGGCAGCTGCTGGCCCCTCCTGGGCTCCCCAGTGCCCGACACCCTGCAGTGCGATGGGGCAGCTGACCTGCCAGCCATCCCAGAGGGACCAGGCGCTTGTGCCTGGACCTCCAGCCAAGTACCCCATATCTCGTTGGAGGTGGC